AAATCCTTTTTTGGGCTTAGCAGGTTTTTTTTCTTTCATTGCCAAATTTTTTTTCCATAGCTGCTCCCCAACCCAGTGTTAAGAAAGATGCTCCTTTTTTTTGGACCTTTCCCTCAAAAAAAGAGGATTTCCCAAAATCTAAAAAAAAGCTACATCTGCTCCAAATTTTTTAAAATTTTCCCGATTTTTCTAAGCCTTTCTATCTGACAATGATGTAGTTCAATTGGCATAGGTGCCCTACTAGTCGAAACCGATGGGAAGTAAAAAGCAGTTGCATTGCTAGCGAGTCTTACGAAAGGGTAACAATTATCAGTAACTGAGCAAGAAGCTTTAGCAATAGTATGGGCTTTTTAAAACATTCCGAGACATTATTTTCAGTACTCTGTTCTTGCTTGCGATCAGCTCCCCTGATACCCATTCCCGAAAAACAACCCCCTTTGGAAGGTTTGTAGATGGACCTTGATATCCAAGATTAACCCCTTTTTAGCATTTTTCCCGGCAAGTCAAAGAGTCGCAGTGCCCTTTTCGCGACTGTTAGTTAGTAACTGAGACCCCCATTTAGTGCTGAGTTTTAAAAAAAGTCAACGAAAAGATCCCCTGTGGTTGGTTGATACGATTCCTGCTCCCGGAAAATTTTTTTCTGAGTGAAGCCCCCAGTCCCATCATGACTTCTCAGAACCCAAAAATTACTGTATCGAAAGCCGGTTGGGGACTCCACAGAAGAGTATACCAGTTTGTAAAATTCCCAGTCCTAGTGAAGTAGCCTTACACTAGTTCAGATGCCCGGGTTTGCCACCCTGGTTGGATCGCAGTAAAAACCAAACCAAAATATTTTGGCTCTTCCCCTGATATTTCGAGAGGAAATGAGGGAGAAAAAGGCAATGAATGGTTAATCCAAAAAAAATACTGGAACCTTGGGAGTTGGGGTAAGTTTGTTAAAATTTGTTTCCCCAAGGAACAAAACTGTTTTTTATGGTGCCTTCCCCAAAAAACCAAAAAAAAACAACCAAAACAAAAAAACCCAACAACCCAAAAACTTTAAAAACCAATTCCCTCCCCCTCCAACCCAAAACAAAAAAAACTTAAAAATTTTTAAAATTTTTAATTTAAAAAAATTCAATCCACCATTTTCCCAAAAATCTCAGCAAAATTTTCAAAAAAAACCCCAAAAAACCAAAACATCCCAAAAAAAAAAAAACCAAAATTTTCCAAACAAAACTAAAAACAAAAATTTCCTTTATTTTTAAATTTTACCCAAAAAAAAACAAAACCCAAACGAGAACTTACGTTGCCAAATTTTTTAGAAGAATCCCGGGAAAACACTTTAAAAACCTTATTTTCAAAAGGGAAACTCTAAAACCCCCCAAAAAAAAAGTGGTTCGAGAAATTCTGAAAATTTTACAAAAGTCTCAACCAAGTTTCAAAAATTTTTGGCCATGGTGGAACAACATTTAAAAAGTATTAAGGGTTGAGAGATTTTATTCCCCAAAAAGAAATTTTGGAAATTTAAATTTATTTATGTAAGTGTTCAAAAAATTCGCTTAAATTCCATTGTCCTCCCCTTTATCATTGACGTAATTAAACGTTTTCCTTTAGAAAGGTATTTTAAAAACCCCAATACATTTTAACCCTTCAGATTTCCTCAAATCGAAGTTAGCCAAGTGGGTTTTTAGAGAGGGGAACCCCCTTCATAAATTTAACAGGTGGGGGTTTAAAAAGTTGAAATATTCGATAAACATCAATTAAAATTTTTTTTGGGTTCGGTTTCTGACTAAATTAAAAGTCTAATTTTTCCCCCAAAGCCCTTTTTTTAAAATTTTTTTGTTTATCCTTTCGAACCTATCCCGAAAAAAAAGGTATAAAATTTTTGTTTTTTTACTTTTTTCAAGTTAGTTTTTGGCATTTTTGGGGTTTTTTTTGAATTTAGTATTGATTTAATTTTGTTTAACCAATTTTAAAGGCACTTTGACAATTTTCTGGTTTTTACTTCTTTTGATACCAAGCCTTTAACCGATCCATTGATTGTTTTATTCCCTAGTTTTCCCCCAGATGAGAAACCTTCCAGTTCAGTTGTAACCCCAATACAGAATTTTGCTCAAACAGCTTGGGGGTTGGGGGAGCTACAATTTAAAACCCCCAGGGGTTTGGCCCCCCCCATTTTGATTCCAAAAATCCTTTTCCCCCTACAGATTTGTTTAATGGTATTTTTCCCCAAAAGATGAATAAAAATAAACAGGGGACAACCTTAAAAACAAGAAATTTTTAAGGGAAATTTTTTTTTGTGTCTATGCTTTAAATTCAAGTTTCGATTTTGAATAACGCCTTTTTTAAACATTTTCGTTTTATAATTCCTTCTCAGATTTTTTTAAATCAAAAGGGAAAAAGGAAAGAAAAACTCTGGCTTCTGACCAATTTGCAAAGGTATTGCAGAGCTTAATGTGGCTGAAAAATCGCATATGATTCTTGTACAGTTCGTACGAATATTGTTGCTGTAATATCCTAACATTAGACCTTTGTCGGTCTCCCCCACGTAAGATAAGTGCAGAAAATGCAACAGATCCTATAGACACCATCAACAGGGGTTAAGGATAATTTTTTATCAAATGTTCTTAACAGACTGAATTCTTAAAAAAACTGTTAGTATGCGAATCTTTATATACAATTCTTCGGGGCGATAATTTTTCATTGTGTGGAAGAACCATCACATTCTTGATCTGAGGTGTTATGATGGGTTCAGGTTCAGCCCTATGATAAACTTTCCTAGCTGCCAGCAACGCTAATTCTACAAACAAATTAGGGTACCGCAGTTTCGGGGGCAAATATCAAATATTTTCCTAATTTATTTATCAAGAAACTCTGGGCTGTACGTTCGATAAGCTCTCAGAAACATAGGGGAAAAAAGATACTCCTTTTTCCTCTTATTTCATGGTTGGAATAATATTTGAATGCATGAGGACATAGTGGCCTTTCATATCTGCAAACTTAAAACTTTCTATCAACCGGTGTATCCCCATATCTAAGAACGAAAGTTTGATTCCACTTCTTTCTCCACAGTGAATTTTAAAAGATGGGCCCAGAGCGTTAAATCTCGGTAAAAAAGTATCCAGGGTTTAAATCATTCGGCTAGACACAGATGTCATCCCATATCTGAACTATTTAGTTTTACAGGGCGGATATTTTTCAACATCCTAGCCTCGAAACCCCTATATTCAGATAGGGAAGACAATGAATTTCCATAAACCATTCCCTACTTTTGAGCGTAATATTTCCCTTCAAACTGTAACTTGCAATCAACTACACATGCTCTAATCAGCTCAATAATGGTTTGTTTTTATCGAATGGCATGGGTAAATCACCTTATTCTTCTTCCAGATAAGATAACAGACCGGGAACAGACATTTTGGGGTGAACAACACCGTGACGCCCCAAACTTACTAGTGTAAAATCATGACATGTTAACATTTGAAAATTTGTCAATAAGATTAATATTGTTGTTTATATGGACTTCAGAACTGTTGCCAAGCTTTTTGAGTTAATAAATATTTTTACCATTCGGGACAAGTCGTAACTCGCCGATCCCACGGAGCTAAGTGGAAAACCAGGTTTGTGGGTTTTAATCAAACCTTTATTTTTAAAGGGGAGCATAGCCGACCAAGCTGATAACTGTTTAATCAGCTCCTCATTACCTCAGTAAGGTTCTATGTTGCTTATTAAACTTACTATTCCAACTGGTTCTTATTAAAGGACACGTAAGTTTTCGTCTTCTAATAAAGTACTCATTTTTCCACTACGATTTTACCTCGTCCATAATTACTATCTTTATTTGCTTTGTCTGCTTTGGGCAGTCTAGGAAGGTGAAGTCTAGGTTTCTTTCCTTAATTTTATGGTAAGACTTAACAAAACTTTAAGGACAATTCGGTTCCTATATACCATGGCTTTGCAATGTTGAAGTTTCAGGGATAGGTTCCCTTGTTTTTCCAGATTGAAAAAAAACTTAGCAAGGTCACATAATAGTGCCACATTCGTAAGCGCGAAATTTAACCCATATCTTAGGGCTGTTGTTGGTCACGGGTTAATTCAATACTCGACAGGTTTAAAAGGGAAATTCCGAGTTTAGCATGTGTTAGGTTATGCTAGTCTTTATTACCCTCGTACAGTTTACACGCATAAAACCCAATATACGAATATGGGTCATCACTTACACAAGAATTTTAAAGAATTACAACCTGAAGTAATTTTGTCTTTATTCAAAGTGTGTTAGGGAATTTGATAATAATTTCAAAAGAGTAGCATACGTGTTCCTAACTGAAGAGCTCTAAGTTATAATTTTTTCCCATTAACATATTTTCAGAGACTCGTATTACAGGTGTTCTGAGTAAACTCTACGATGCAGTCTAATCGTTATTGTAAGCATAATGCTAAAACTTCAAAAAATGGGCTAAATATGGAATAGGTGTAGAAAATACCATACTGACGTTGTGCTCATTAAAACTATTTCACTTACTCACCACCACTATCCCAGGGTGCATTAACCCTTAAAACAGGAAATTTAAAATGAACGCTCAGCACTCGTAATACTATAAGATGTTTCAAGTATCAGCGTGATCCTCTATTGCATAATACTTGAATCAATAAATTGTTCCTGGAGATATTTTCGTAGTGAGAAAGGCATTTATTAGTAAAGTAGGAATAATATTCCTTGTGGATTCATGGAAGTGTGAAAACATCGAAGGTGAATAATGAATAATACCTTAGGGATGGACGGAATTGAGCATTATTCATGGTTAATAATCAACTCATTACTCTTTTACACTTATTTCCAACACGCATTCTTCACTACACATTCTTCACCGTCCTTCATAAAATGAATAGTAAGTATTGTTGAATTTCTCATAACTATATATAATTTCCTTTCAAGTATCTTATTATTCAGTATTAAAACTACCCCGGGGAGTTATAATAGTCAGAACCACCAAGAGGTAAATAAAAGGATTACTTACTCTAGCGAGGAAGGTGTACATTTCTTGCTCAGCGATGGGGTCGACCGATAACACATCCTAGTGCCAGCGCCGAAGGGAAATGTGGCGTAAGGTTTAAGGGTTTGCCGAGAAAACTTTTTTCCTCAACCACCGCTCAGGCAGGAATTTCTTCGCTTGAGGGAAGAGCGATTCATCCCAACCCATCTCATGCTCAATATCACAACTGACCACTATGTAAATAATAAAACACGCTTGATGATGTTTTGACCTCTTCTTAATTATCAAAATGCAATTATGGCAATAACCTGCATTTTTTGTTGATTAAAAAGACTTCGTTTAAAGGGAAAAAATTACATGTTTAACTGTACATAAAGTGAATATTACGAACCCTTTAGGAATTAAAGTATCCACTGATAACAAGTTCCTTATCCAAAGTTCTTGTTATGCCAAGCATGTAGGTAGCAGCCTAAAATATAATAAACTGCGTGAGCCACTTGTCAAAAGCATTATAATGTAATTCATATTTGAATGATGCATAATAGATAATGCACTAAATAATAAAAAAACTGTACGTACAGCAAGAAATATTTATAATATCTGCTATTACATTATTGTTGCAAATGTATTTACCAACATAGTGGCAAATTAAAACAATGCCAAAAAATAATGAGTAGGTTATACCTCATGGATTCTTTAAAGACAGCCTTGAGGTAGTGGAGCTTGGCCCGGTGATGGTGAAGGAGTGGACCCTTTTGGTCCCCGAGCACAGTATCCACCTCCTCTTGCAGTCTATCTGCACCTCCGGGTTTTTAGCCAACAAGTACAGTACGAAACCCAGAGTGTGCGATGTCTTCATGTTTTTAGAAACATTCACAGATATAGATGGGGGAATACAGATTATACTGTAAATGTTGTTTCATCGCATATAATAAACTAAAAGGAAAGAGATAAGCACACATTCTCCCCCGTCTGCCTCCCACAAAAAAAAAAAAAAAAAAAAAAAAAAAAATGGTCCCCCTTCAAGGTTCTTACCCAGAATACAAAGAATCCATAGCTAGGATGTCTTTAGGAAACTTGTCAATTACTTAATCAAGAGCTGTACAAAAAGTGGGAACATTCTAAGTGATACTTTTAACGAGGAAAGCATGGAAGATGGGTCATCCTTTATAAATAATTAACACCTCCCTATTATGGCCTCTGCCGACAAATG